CAATAAAAAGAAATCTGCAATGGCTATATTAATATCACACAAAATAGATTTCAGAGCAAAGAATATTGCCATGGATAAAGAAAGTCATTTTATAATGATATAAAGATCAATTTTTCAGGGGGATATAACATTCCTAAACATTTCTGCATCTAAAAACAAAGCTTCAAAATACATGAAACAAAACTCATTGAACTGCAAGGGAGAAATCAACAAATCCACTATTATCATAGATTTTAATACCCCTCTTTCAATAACTGATAGAACAAATAGACAGAAAATCAGCAAAAAGACAGTAGACTTGACACCACCAATCAAAATGACCTGACTGACATTTATAAAACAAGACATTCAACCACAGCAGAATACACATTCTTTCCAAGTGTGCCTGTAAAATTTACCAGGGTAGCCAATATCCTGGCTGTAAAAAGTCTCAATAAATTTAAAAGGACTCAAGTCAGACAAAGTATGTTCTTTAACTGCAATGGGATTTAATTAACATCTGGAAAATCAGTATAATATTTGGCAGCTAAATAACACACTTCCCAATTACTTAAGGATCAAAGAGAAAATAAAAATGGATATTAGAAAGTATTTTGAATTGAATGAAAGTAAAAATACAGCATATCAAAATCTGTGGGATGCCACTAAGCTATACTTGGGGAAAACTTTATAACACTAAATACCTATTTATTAGAAGAGAAAAAAGTATCAAATCATTGATCCACCCTAAGAAATTAGAAAAAGAAAACCTAATAAAATCCAACGTAGATAGGAGAAAGAATATAGATCAAATGGAAATCAATGAAATAAAAAACAAACAATAGGGGAAATTAATGAAATCAAACACTGGTTCTTTGAGAAGCTCAATAAAACTGCCGCACCTCTAGTAAGACTAATTAGAAAAAAGAGAAGACACAAATGACCATATCAGGAGTTGGCCAGTTTGCTCAGTGGGTAGTGCCACCTTGTAGCACCAAGGTCCAGGGTTTGGATCCCAGTCAAGTGTACAAACCAGCTGCAAAAAAAAAAAAAAGGGAACGAGAAAGGTGGCATCAATACAGATTCTACATACCCTGAAAGGATAATAAGGGAATATAATGAGCAACTTTATGCCAATAAATTTGACAGCTTAGATGAAATGGACAAATTCCTTGAAAGACAAACTATACAAGTTTATTCAAGGAAGAGTTGATAATCAAAATAGTCTAATATATATTAAAAATAAATTTTATAGTTTAAAAACTTTCCCACAATGAAACTTCAGGCCCAGATAGCTTTAATGATCAATTCTATAAAACATTTAAGAAAAAGAAATATTACTCCTACACAAACTCTTCTAGAAAATGAAAGAGGAGAGAATATACCTCAACTCATTCCATGAGATAAGCACTTCCCTGTTACCAAAGCAGAAAGACATTACAGGAAAAGAAAACTATAGACCAATATCATTCACAAACATAGATGTGAAATTTGAAACAAAATTTTAGTAAATTGAATTCAACAATATATTAAAGGATAAACATTATGACTAAATTAAATTTATTCTAAGAGTGCAGGGTTGCTTTAACATTAAAAAAGAAAAACCAGGGCCGAGCCCATGGCGCACTCGGGAGAGTGCGGCGCTGGGAGCGCAGCAGCGCTCCCACTGCGGGTTCGGATCCTATATAGGGATAGCTGGTTCGCTCACAGTGCTCACTGGCTGAGCGCGGTGCGGCCGGTCTCAAAAAAGGACAAAAAAAACCCCAACAAAAAAACCCCCCAAAACCCCATATTATTATCTCAGTAGATACATAAAAAGCATTTGACAAAATTCAACATCCATGTGTAATAGGCGTTGCCACAGATCAAATGTTCTGAATCACAATTCTGTCA